GCAACACAACAGTGAGGGAGTGCAGCCTGGACACACTGATGTCACCTACATTGTCCCTGCTCCACTTGGGTCCTCCAAGCAACATAGGATGGCACTGAGCAAACTACTCCCCCCTCACCCATTCCTTCCCAGAAACTTGGTGGCAACACCTAGACTAACAGACAGGTCCCTTCTGAGACTGTGCCCCTGGTCCTCCTCCCCTGTTCCTGGCAGAAGAAAACTCAAAGGATCTTTTCACTTTAGTATTTGCCCATTTTGGAAAGCCACACTATCACCACATAAACTTTAAACAATAAATTAAATCAGACATTATGTCCAGTGGGTGATACCCAATCCACTTGCAGTTTCCTAAGTGTGTTGAAAATCAGTGTTTCATCTTCAGGATCCTTTCTTCCAACTGGCCCCTCTTCCTGGGAATCATTTAGCAGTGCTTTTGTGACAATGTTTTCAATGTCTTCCAAGTCCCCTAGTTCTATAAACTTTGCCACCAGACAAGTGAAGTGTATGAAGGAGAGAAAAACTTGCTGACAGCTATTTGGAAATCAGCAACAATGGAAAAGGGAACTATGTCATATGAAGTTTCAATGACCTAGAATAAAACAAGCTATTTGGAAATTTGCCCTGGTGGGGTGAAGAGTCCCAGCATGTTAGGCAAGATAAAGATTCACCTTGTTAATTACACAGCTTTGTTCTAGAGTCCTACAAAGGATTGAATGAAACATCAACAGTCTTTCCACTTCTACAGGCAAACTAGGAAAAAGGAACTTCCCTGCTTACAGGTCCCTCAGGATGTTTGCCTGAAATGAAAAACCAGCTTGGAGACCTCAGATTTTCTCCTATGACAGTGTGTCCTGCTAAAGCCCAACCCAACCGCTTGTTTGCACACCTGTGCTTCTGACAACCTAGATCCAGCTATAGGCACTGCTACCAGTAGAAGAGTGAGGTAGCCGGGTGGTGAGGAAGAGGTCTCTCCTTTCACAACTGCATGCAGTGATGGCATCAGGACCTCCCATGGGCCTCTCCATTCCATTCCTCAGCAGGCTACACCACAAGGCTCTGTTCAACACCAGGAGACTCAACGCAGGAAGAGTGCCAGAAAATCCAACTGAGAGCGGGATGAGAATTAAAACCTTCACGGCTTATTAAGCAATGAGATCTGCAACGCCATTCCAAAGGGCTTCCGATCTTGATGTGGGTCTCTGTCCAGGAGCCGAGAAGGACTCATGGTGCCCACATTCAACCCTAACATGGCGTCCACTTATGAAGCATGGAGGTTGTGATCAACTCTTGGTACGCAATAAACTGGAAGTTTAAAAAAAGGAATTTAAAACAACCTAAAAATGTTTCTTGTTGGTCTCCGTTGCCCAGACTGCCAGGGGATACACCTACTCGATCTGGGGAGGCTGTAGGGGTGTGTGTGGGGTAAGCTTTCATGGATCACCAATTCCAGCTTCTGGCGTGTGGCTAACACACGTGCAGCAAATCAACAGACACAGGTCTTCTGAACCCACACGGTAATTCTCACTAGTCCTGGAGGAGCCCCAATCCAACAGAACCCCATATTGAGGAAAGGCTGAGATAAGGCTTGGGCCCCTTGAGTTGTTTCACTCAGTGTAACCCCACCCCCCCACCCTCAGTCAGCGGGAGGCAGACTTGGCAACGGAAGCTAGCATCATAAAATGGTGCAGTAATAGAAGTAACTGGACCAGGAAGAGGAGGCATCTGCTCCAATGATGTCATAGCCATTGGCGGCCACAGGGGGGTGGGACTGGTCATGCAGCCGTGTGTCAGGAGTAATGATTGTAGAGGGGCGGGGCATGAAGAGTGCCATTCTGGAAACAGTGCTGTCGAGAAGCAATATACTCTGCGTAACTGATTGTCACCTTCTCACTTCGGTACCTGTGCAGGGAAATAGGAAAGAGTATTAGTAACCTCAAACACTTCATTTTGTGAAGTCACTCAGCAGAGAAAACCAAAAGCTTATTCCACATTTTGAAAGAATAAGATGGAAGACCAAGAGCAATCTTACTTACAGAAAATGAAAGACAGCACAAGAAAACAATGTTGTTATTACAAATGAACAAGATGAAAAGCACACTCACAATTCACCCCTGAGAATGTATCTCAGCACATCCCACCTTTAAACACTACATATGCTGATCATCAGGCTGCTCATAAGCAATTTGCTACTGGGGTCTGGATGGAGAATTTCAAGTTCAAATTACACGGGTGGCAGATTGGAAGATGGCTGCATCAAAACCCAGTGTAACCTGCATATCTACTTTCAGGTTAAGATATGATTAAGTTGGACAGAAATGCAACCTCAATTTGCAGAAGAGCAACAAACAAGTTATTATAACCAAAAGGGGCACAGATGCCTAATTCTGGGTCAAATTCTGATAAAGCAGATTAAAGGGTCCTTGTAGTATACAGGGCAGGTCTCAGTCCCCAGGTGAGTATGCCATATCACAGGGCATCAGGACAGAATCCATAGCACTGTGGCTTTGCTCTGGAAAGAGCCGTGACTCAGGATGCGAAGCATGGGGTGTTACAAACCTATGGAGCCTACTACAGACCACAGGAGCTGGGTGACAATCCTTACCCAGAGCCATCTCTTTCCCATGTAATCACTCCTCCACTGCAAGGTGATTATTCCTGAATTTTGACAGGGAAATGGCTGTTCAAATAAATTATAATAATAATGATAATAATAATGCTTTGTATTTGAAGAGTGTTTTTTGTTGTTCTTTTAAAAATATTTGGAATCCAAAGCATTTCAAAAACACTGGGTTATCTTCCAAACAACCTGTGAGGTTAGTATATGATTATTCAGCATTTCACAGATGAGGGGAGCAACAGAGGCCCACAGAAGCTAAACCTCTCAGTGTCTCTGATTTCACCCAGGCTGGGAAGAGAACTGATATCTAGTGATCATCTACAATAGCATCTGCCCCTGGGCTAGAAGTTGTCCATACCTTACCTTATCACATCCTAAAACACTAACGTATTACTGTTCACATCTTACAAACAGGAAATAGACTCAGAGAGGTAGAGTAACTGGGCCAGGTCCCACAGCTAGCAGGTAGTTGGTTGGGCATGGAATCAAACCTCAAGTCCAAGTGCATTCTAAACACTTGGCAGTCTCCTGAGAGAAGTATTCCCACCAGAGGGGTCATTTTCTTGTGATTGCCTGTAAGGAGGAACACTTTCTGACTCTCCCACAAGCCCTGACACCTGACTACCTATGTGCTTAGGAAGGATCACCTCGACTGACCCTGGACATCCACACTGAGAACCTCTCTCCTACCTTTGGTCTTCCTGCGGCCTCTTGCCAGGTGGATCTGGCAGAGATGTGCCCGACTTGATCAGCAGGTCTCCATCCCACCACCAGCCTTGCTGTGTGGCACCTCCTCTGGGGGAGTCTCTGCCTGTGCTGCTGCTTCCTCAGAGCCACACCTCGACCACACTTTGTTTGTTTTAGCAGAGAAATTCTTTTTTTACCCCTTCTCATTGAAAGTATCCTCTGTCCAACCCCAGCTAAATTAAAATGCCAAGGAAAATGAGACAGCATCTTACCTGGTAAGTTTGATCGTTTTTCTGAATTCACTGGTAATTGGAGCCTTAAAGCCACCTTTCCTGAGTAAGGAGTCTATTGTCTGGATCTGATCCCAGTCTGAGGAGGAGAGAGGCCACACTGAGGTCAGCACACAATTACTGAGAGTGGGACATGCTCTCACGAGGCCAGGGCAGGAAGAGAAGTGTATTCAGAAAGCAGCCATGTCTGCTAGTGGATAGAGGAAGTCCTAGGTGCCAGTGGCCCCCATATACCTAGGCCCCACCTGTCTCACTGGAGTCCTGAGGGACACCCTAAGAGATGAACAGATAGCCTGATATATGCCCTAAGGCTTCCCTCAGGCTCCTTACTCCTACATCCTTGTCAGATGTCACCCCAGTATAATTATCTAGGAACAAACATTGTCTCAGCTTAGACTGGCTTGTTGGTCTAATTCTGGCCCTCAGGGGTGCTCTGTGGGAAGACAGGAATTTAAATTCTGGTGTTTTTTTTTTTTTTGAGAGGTTTTCACTATAGGGTACATGCGCTCACCAGAAAGACAGAGACAGAGAGACAGAAAGCAAGAAATCACCCCCCAGGGGGGATGACCACGCTGCAATCCCTTCTCCATTCTCCTCTCAGGGTCTTGGGCACGCATGCACATAATCAGTGTGAGTTTAAGCCACCGGGTCCGGGACTCAAACCGAGGTCAACTACATGGGAGTCCAGCAACACAGCCATTATGCCAACTGCTAGTCCCAACAGGAATTTAAATTCTGCCCCTCCTGTTCCTTTGTTATGACTCCACGAAAAATAACTGATAGCAGGAAGGAAGCTTAGGAAAGGCAGGAAAGTTCACACATACACTGCTATGTTGTTAAGCTTTTTTGTTTTGTTTTGTTTTTTGCTAGAAGGCATGTGCTCTTCTTGCCATAGATAAATAAAGAAAGGGAGAGAGAGAGAAAGCATGCCCCATGGGCATGGCCACATCATAATCACTTCTGAGATTCTGGACACACATGCCCAGCCTGTTTCTTCAACTGCTGGGTCCAGGATTTGAACTAGTGGTGAGCTATATGGGATCCAGATGCCTTAACCACCAGGCCATGGAATCTGCCCGTGACTGCATATTTTAGTAAATAAAACCAAACACAACAAGCTGAAAATCCAACAAAATCCTCCTAAATTACTAAGTGGCAATTTTAAATCTTCCCAATGTTCAACTAGCATTATACTTTATTTACCTAAGTTACCATCTCACCATTAAAAAAACAATGGTTTGCCTCCTTGCACAGAAGTGTGTGTTTGGTTTACGATCTCAAAGAGGTGGCTAAAGGTTTCCTCTTTATGCCACATCCACACTGCCTTTGAAAAAGTTTAAACACAACATGATCAACCAATAAGGTAACTGTTCTCTACAAAATTAGTTCATTGATAATACTTAACTGGGTATTTTGCTCTATTTATGGCTCACACCAAACACACTGTGTTTCACATATTATTTCCAAAAACAGACTAATTCTGAGAAAAAAAAGAGAATTGGGTGGGAAGAGCAGATAGCGTAATGGTTATATTGCTGGATTCCCACGTAGCCAACCGTAGTTCAAGTCTTGGACCTGGTGGTTTAAACTCATGCTGGGTGCATGTGCACACAAAATCCTGAGAGGAGAAGCTATTGCAGTGTGGCCATCCCCCTGAGAAGAGGGTAATTTTTCGCTTTCTGTCTATCTCTGTCTCTTCAGCAAATCCACGCTCCCTATAGCAAAAACCTTTCTCTCAAAAAAAAAAAAAAGAATTGGGTTAACATCACAGAATGTACAAGAAACATTTAAATGGTTTTTTTTTTTTTTTTGGGAGAGATTTTCACTGTAGGGCGCGTGCGCTCGCCAGACAGACAGAGACATAGAGACAGAAAGCGAGAAATCACCCCCCAGGGGGGATGGTCATGCCACAATCCCTTCTCCTCCATTCTCCTCTCGGGATCTTGGGCACGCACGCACACGCGCCCGGCGTGAGTTTTAAG